ACAATTGGTAATGGATCTCTTCCTTCTATATTTAATGTTTTGTACGTTGAATATCTAATGCATAACTTGTTATCCATAAGTCAATTAAGCGATAACGGTTATGACATTATTGTTAATCAGAAAGTGTGTAAAGTTGTGAGTCAGAAAAATGGAACAGTTCTTTTCACTGAAAAGAGGAAAAACAATATTTATAAAATAAGGTTTTCTGATCTTAAAAATCAAGATGTAAAATTCTTAATGTCTGTTAACGAAGGAAAATGGGTGTGGCATAGATGCTTGGGTCACATTAGCATGAGAATGATTTCTCAGCTAAATAGACTTGAGTTAGTCAAAGGGCTGCCTAAGCTGAAGTTTGCTTTAGATGATCTTTGTGAAGTATTGTCAGAAAGATAAGTTTCTAAAACTTCATTTAAGCCAAAAATGTTGTTTCCACCTCCAGACCTTTGGAGCTTTTACACATTGACTTGTTTGGTACAGTTAAAACTGCATCATTCAATGCTAAGAAGTATGGACTTATCATTGTAGATGACTATAATCGTTGGACATGGGTAATATTTCTAAGGCACGAGGATGAGTCACATTCTGAATTCACTAGGTTCTGCTCCAGAGTGAAAAATGAATTTGATTCTAACATCGTTAGAGTCAGAAGTGATTATGGTGCCGAATTTGAAAATAAACAATTTGATGAATTATTCTATTCTAATGGCATATCACATGATTTCTCCTGCCCTAGAACTCCACAGCAAAATGGAGTTGTAGAGTGGAAGAATAAGACGTTGCAAGAAATGGTCGGAACCATGATTGAAATTCTGGTATTCAGATCTCAGATGTCCTAAAAGATGTCGAGACACCTTTCTCTGAACAAAGACACAATGACAAGGTAAATGATAAACAAAGTGCAGAAATGTAAAGAACATACATAATTATTAACCCAGATCAGTGTACAACAACACCTACTTTGGGGGCTGCCAAGCCAGGGACGAAATTAACTAAATAGTATCAATTTGAAGCTAAACTCCCCCGTTTATAACTTCTCACTTAATCACTACCATTTGCTTAACTTCTACCTAAGACTCACCTAGGTATGAGACCCGTCTCAAATCCCTTCAATCACACACCAATGACTGAACAATTCTAACACTTAGAAAATCACAGAAGTCACACTTCAAAGACACACAATCATAGGCATTTACAAACATATGTATTTACATGAAATTTTACTATTTTAAACTTAAAAGGTGTAAAATACACTGGCATTTTCCATCCTACTCTCACTTTTTGCGGAACGGGAGAAGATTTTAAATCTACAGCCTCAATTATGTCCGCTCCACCTCATTTATTTCAAACATTTATAGGATAAATATGCTTGTTTGCCACCCCTACTCACTAGGTTAGAGATAGTGACAAGTTTTGAGGCAAAATCATTCCACTTATGCCTATTACTTCTTTTAATTCGGTTACGAACATCTTTACAAAAATCTTTTCACCTTGTATTTTTTTTACTTTTAATAGTGTTTAATAGAAATGAGGTATTTTAAAAATATTATTTGCAATAATCCTCTTCTATTTTTTTTTCATCTAAGACCCACAGCTTATTGGTCTGAACATCCTTATATGATTTCTTATGAGGTTGTAAAGTTCCCATCCTAACCACAATGCTTAAATTAAACTCATTTGGTGTCTAATTATCTTCATGTGAGAGCTTATTGGTCTGAACATCCTTATATGCTTTCTTTGCTATCTTTTTATTGAGAGATTTTAGTATATACCATCAAGTTGTTCACTCTACCTCACAATTTACGTGAAGGTTTCAAATGAATATTTGTCTCTTCTTAAATATTCTTTTGAGAAAACTTTTAGTTTTTTAGAGTAGAAAATAAGTTTAGTTATTTTATAATTTGAATATTATAAAATTTTATGAAAATAAATTTAAATATTTAATTAGAATTATCTGTATGTTCTATTTTCTAGAAAAATGTGTTTGAGATAATTTAATTTCTTTCATTTTGTAAAAATCTTCAATTTTGAGTTTTTAAATTTTTAATTTTTTAAATTTGGAAAACTTTCCAAAAACTTAAAATTTAAAATTTTCTAAAACTGAAAAGGGAAAGAAAAATGCAACAAGAGTGTGGTGTTTTTAAGAATGAATTGTTCGGTAAACATTAAAAAGAACCTTGATATGATGGAGTAAATTTTCGATATGGCAAACAAGATACTAAAGTATAAGATTAGCACTCCAATCAATGGAAGAATGAAAGTGATGTGGGAGTCAATGAATTTGAAATTGAATAATATATTTCTTCCTGTATGATTTCTTATAAAAGAGATGGTTGTTCAAAGTTCTGATCGAATGTGAGTTTTCTCTTATGGGATTTCTTAATATATCTTATAATTTTTTAGCGCATTGTTCGAAAATACTTAAATATTCTTAGATTTCGAAAATATATTTCTAGAATGTACTAAGATGTAATAAAACAGAAACTTTCTCGAAGTTACATTTTAATATCAAATCGATAGTATATTTATGGAATAATGCCTTACAGAATGCTGAAAAATAGAATTGAAATACATCAACTTCACAAATCAAAATACCATTGATATCATAAAATAAAACAATACATAAGAGATATTAACATAGATCAAACATTACACTTCAACATCCAGGTGGACGTTGCAACATCTTAATAATATCATCGATCGATTTCGAAATAGTCGTATCCAGCTCGATCGCAATTTTTGATTCTAAACGAAAAAATGTTCTCCACATAGCCCGTAAGTCAGCGTCCGTCTTCAACTCATGATTGTTGAACTCAAGCTTCCCTTCTTTGTCAACGGATGGTGAGCGGTACTCGATCTTCACAATTTTTTGATTGTTATCATATGGTAGGAGTTCATGCAATATGTATTATAGATCTTTAAGAGGGGTGTACTCATTGATCTTAAATTCTCGGGATAGTGTATTATCTATAAAGTGAACATTTCCAACATGTCATTTGATGTTCATTCTAGTTTTTTGTGTTTTGGTATGAAACAATATGACAAGTGAGCTTATTTATAGTAGTGAGATGATATTAAGGACCACACAAACCCTATATGCTGACAAAGAATGTACTAGAGATGTAACTCTGAAAACACCTTTATTTTTTTCCAAAGATGCATCTCCGAAAACTTCTTTGGTATTAAAAAACAGAAACAAAATAAAAACAAAAGCAGCTAATTGTATTTGATGCTGGTATTTTTGGACAAACTACAAAATTCTTATATTCCACAATATAATACATTAACAAAATATCGTATAAAATAAAATGATAAATAACTACTTAAATGATATGAAATAATTGTTGTCTGCAAAAAATACATTTCCCTTCCCCCCAAGTCTCAAATTGGGGATTATATAATGATTCGTCCACTCCGGTGATGTAAGTGGTATAGGGCATTCCGATTTCAAATACACTTGAAGAAAATATCGTGGATTTGAAACTCACCCAACACAGATGATACGATCATTGGGATTTAATAGTGGAGTTGTGCGCAGTGAAAAATATCTCACATACAAAGGTGGCAGAATTTTCAATTTTCCACACTAATTAACCGGCCGAAAATACATTCCCCCCATATGAATCTCTAGGATTAACTGAAATTTAATTAAAAAGACGTGTGTTCCAGAAATACACTTTCGAGAATGCATAGATAAAAAAAAGGTGTGTTCCGCTTTCGAGAGTGCATAGACAAAATTGAATTTTTATAGTGTTCTTTTCAATGTCACGAAGTGTGGTAAGAAATCTCCTCTCTTATTAGGGATTGCCTGGCCCAAAACACAAGGTTATTGAGTATTGAGAGAGATAAGTAAAGTCGTTGCAGAGATAAGTAAAGCCAAACATCTTGCTTGGCTAGCATGAAGATATCCAAAGGTCAAAATTGAAAGAAGTAAGAAATATTAAACATGATCAAACTCTTTGCTGAACACATAAAGTTTAACATGAAACACTTCTTTGGGTTGTTTGGTCACTAGTTTGTTTGTGAATGTCGACACTTTTGCTTTTTAATGGGGTATGATTGTGCCCGCCCATCTTAATGTGACATGCATTCTTAGCTTGTCGATTTTTGGGACTCAGGCTCCATCAATTGAGCAACTCTCTTTTCAAAAGTATCTTTGGTTACTCCAAGTTTTTGACCCCCAATGCTAAGAGTGAGAGCACTGTCACTGATGTTGAGCACCACAATTTCTTATTTTATTGGTTCAGCAAGTTCTTTGCGTGTATAGGCTATTGCATAGTCCTACAAGTGTTTCGAGTTTATATTGCTTTAAAACTGTTGAGCATAGTTACTATAGTTTTGGCTCCTCTTGTACTTTGCCGATTTTTTGAAGATGAATTTTAACCACCACTCTGTCTCCGGAGATGGACGTGTTTTAAGAGAGCCTCTTATTCATTATTATCATTTAGTCTTGCACTGTCATCTCGACTGCCAACTACTACATTCACTCCATGGTCCGACAATTACGGCTCTAGTCTTTCTTGAACACGACATCTTTGGCTAGATCACCCGGGCGAGCAGTAAAACCCTCACCATGTTGTGAGAGTTTGGCCTTCTGCAACACTTGTCGCTAGGTTATGACTCTCTATCCCCTAGCCTAAAGAGAGTTTTTATAAACTATCAATTTGCCCTCAAGTCGGCTCGCATGAACTGATGCAAAATCCACGCCTTTGAGATGACTTTGTTTGACAACCAACAAAACAGTTTTTATGAATTGGCGGATTTCAATGATATGCCATATTTTCGGGCTAGCAAAGGTGTTTCCACCCTGAAGTAATATAAATCGTTGTTTCTTATTGTTTGTGTCATATTGAGTTTACTTGTTGAGTTGTATTTGCCCTTTCTGAGTTGAAAAGTTACTTACAGTTTCATTTTGACAAACATTTCATTTCTTTGTAGTTACCAACAGTTACAACAAATACTGTTTCCTTTCCAACAATATGGAGTGGCAAACAGAAGAGCATTCAGAGAATGAATGCATGATTGTTCCTGTGGACAGTAGAAAATGAATGATAAAAAAGTGGAAACCAAAAAAAGGCAAATCCATAAAATTTGATTAATTATCATATCATATCATTGCCACTTACTTACATTTTAGGATGTAAGTACTGATCCACTGTGATAGGTTTTGGACCACCAAACCAATCAATCAAAAATATTTTCTCAATTTCCAATTTGAAGAACTGAAAATCGTGATCCTCTGGCCAATCTGTTAAACATTTCTGAAAGTTAGTATGAATCCGTTCTTAACAACCATTAATATGATTAATTAACAATTACCCCTCATCTCTGAATGCTTGGAAAACAAGGCATTTCTCGAAAATTCGGCTTCCTCTGACTTTTCATCAACCAATTTCAGCTGAAACACACAGACGAAATCAAATTTCTGAGTAAATAACAAAAGGAAACGCAAAAGTATTCGCCTTCTCTCACACGCACACACGGACCTTCCCTGTAAGCGTAATTTTCGAACATGTAGGATTCTCTGGGTCGATTTTGCCACATGTTCCAAGAGGGTACTCGCTGACCGTGAACGAAGCTCTTCCGTCTTGTAATGCGTGCCTTGCTGTTGGGTCTAGAGTAGTTAAGTAGAAGTATGGGATGCCGATGCCTTGGTTTGGTAGTCCATCACTAAACGATACCACATTGCTGCATATAAACAAATTTATTAACTTCAGTTTAAATATGTACTCCCTCCGGTCTCATTTATAAGAAAAAATTAACTTTTTAGATACATTAAATAAGTAATGTATTTGGACAATATATTGTCCAAATACATTACTTATTCAATGTATATAAAAAGTTAATTTTTTCTTATAAATGAGACCGGATGGAGTATATGTGATGGTCATTATACGGCGGAGTCTATTTCATTTTATAGAAAGGAATTGTATAAGCAATGCTTACCCAAAGGGTGCTCCATCAAAATCAGTTGAGATAGTACTGCAAAGAAACAATAACCAATTTCGATATGAAAACACAAGACCTAATATTGGTCCTTAAAAAAAGGAAAAACAAAACTTTGGGCGTAAGAATTTCAAATGTTAGTCAAATGAGTCGATTGTAAAGACCAAGAAAATGATCATAAAAATTGACTAATTCAATCCACAATTATAAAGAAATATAAATTCAGCAACAAATAAATCAACAAGTGAAACGGAATTGAAGTGATTTGGTAGAGATAGAGAGAACCTTAAGACGCCCCAGAAATTGAAAGATACCAACCAACGAGCAGTTGCAACAGCGTCGTTTGGATCAGGTTTTGTTGAAATCGAGAGCAATCGACCTTGCACAACACAAACTTGGCTACACCACAAGAACAATAGCAAAGGGGCGAGATAGAACAAGAAAACCTTCATTTTGATTATACTCAACTCCTTTCTCTCTCTCTCACATACACTCACGGGATGAAGAGAAATATATGAAGACAAAATTTACATATAACTTATTGGCATGTAATGTTAATAGCTTATCACAATTACTTATATATAATATTTTAAAATCAATTAAAATAAAAGTCAAACAGTTATAAAAATTTGACGGTAAAATAAAGTTATTATACGATATTTGTTTTATATTGATTTTGTTGATTAAATTCAAATCAGTTTTGAGTAACGTAAAAGTCAGATTTCCTTGGACAGTGTGAAGTTTATTTCTTAGAGACTTAGACATAGTTAATGTAACTTTAAATATTTTATCTTATGATTCTATATAAATCACATTCTACTCTCACATTAAAAGTTAGTTGGACATTTTACAAAGAAAGAAGTTCAAAGTCCACTCTCATTTCTCTTCAAATTTCTTCAAATTGGTATCAGAGCGCATGGCAAATATGATGGATCAAATGTCACTGCCACGACTCTCAAAGTCAAACTATGAGAACTAGAATATCTAAATGAAGGCGTTGTTGGGATCGTTAGATGTATAGGAATTAACTAACGATGGGTTTGAAGAATCATCAGATACGACGGGAATCACAACTGCTCAGAACAAGGCATTGAAAGAAACGCGAGCAAAGGATAAAACAACATTGTACATGCTATTCAGAGCAGTTGAGGAATCAGTTTTCGAAAAGATTGCATGTTCGACTACATCGAAGGAAGCGTGGGACACGTTAGAAAAGGCTTTCAAAGGAGCAAATAGAGTCAAGCAAGTTCACTTGCAGACTCTTCAAGGAGAAATTGAGAGAATGAAGATGAAGGAGACAGAGCCCGTGTCAGACTACGTCACTCGTGTGGAGACAGTGGCAAATCAACTTAATCGAAATGGAGAAGCGATGACTGGTGCTCGTATTGTCGAAAATATTCTGAGATCTTTGACAGACAAGTTCGAAAATATAGTATGCGCAATAGAAGAAGCGGATGACCTTTTGAAAATCATTGTCGAAGAAGTGGCTGGTTCGCTTGAGGCACATGAACAACGCAAAATAAAGAAGAAGGAGGAGGAGGCTCTTGAGGATGCAGAACCTAACAGAGACGAAAAGGCATGTTTCTCTCAAAATTGATGTGGGAGAGGATATGGTCGTGGAGGACGTAATGGTGGTCGAAGTTACCAAAATAACAATTTTGACAGAGGACAGTCAAGCCAACAAAACTGGCGTGGCAGAGGACATGGCCAGAGAGGTGGTAGATCGAATTATAACAATATTGAATGTTACAAATGTAACAAGCAGGGGCACTATACGAAAGATTGCAACTCCTACAGTTGCTACAACTGTGGTAAAATGGGACATCTTGCAAAAGAGTGTCGTCTCAGAAGAAAGTTAGAAGAAATAACAAATCTTGCCCTAGAAACATAATCAATGAAGGATTTCTATTAATGACTCAAAAGGAAGCAGATGCATAAAATGACATTATGTGGTACCTGGACTTAAGAGCAAGCAACCATATGTGTGGTCATAAGCACTTTTTCAAAGAAATAAAGAAGATTGATGATGGTCATGTTTCCTTTGGAGATGCGTCGAAAGTAAGGGTCGAAGGAAAAGGAACAATCAGTTTCTTGCAGAAGGATGATTTGATAGGATCTATCCAAGATGTGTACTATGTACCAAACCTCAAAGCAAATATTTTGAGTCTGGGACAACTCAGAGAAAAGGGTTATTCGATTCTCATGGAAGATCGAAGCTTGCACTTAAAAGACAAGTCAGGACGTCTAGTTGCTCAAGTCGAAATGGGGAGAAATAGAATGTACAAGTTGAATTTGAGAAGCATTCGAGAAAAGTGTTTGCAAGCCAATATCGAAGACCAAACATCCTTGTGGCATCTTCGTTTTGGTCATCTACATCAAGTTGGACTAAGGAGGTTAGCAAAGAAAAATATGGTGCATGGACTTCCAGACGTGGAATTCGAAGGAAAATTCTGTGAAGATTATGTGTTTGGCAAACAGACGAGAACCTCTTTCCAATCGAAGGCAGAATATCAGGCCAAACAAATTCTGGAATTGATTCACACTGACATATGTGGACCAATTACCCCAGAATCCTTCAGTGGAAAAAAGTATTTTATATCCTTCATTGATGATTTCTCAAGGAAAACTCGGGTGTATTTTCTGAAAGAAAAGTCATAAGCCTTTGAAGTATTCAAGAAGTTTAAGATAATGGTTAAAAAAGCAACAGACAAGCACATCAAAGCCCTTCGATCAGACAGAGGTGGGAGTATACTTCGACAGCCTTTATGAAGTACTGTGAAGAGCAAGGCATAAGAAGATTTCTGACTGCAACATACTCACCTCAACAAAATGGTGTAGCGGAAAGAAAGAATTGAACAGTCCTTGACATGGTTCGATCAATGCTGAAGAGTAAAAACATGTCGAAGGAGTTTCGGGCAGAAGCTGTACAGTGTGAAATCTATATTCAGATTAGATGTCCATATTCGAAGCTGGGAGACTTAACACCTCAAGAAGCTTGGAGTGGACAAAAGTCAATTGTGTCTCATTTCAAAGTGTTTGGAAGTGTGGCTTATGCACATGTACCTGATCAAAGAAGAACAAAGCTGGAAGATAAGACTCGGAAATACCTACTCATTAGATATGATGAGAAAATGAAAGGTTACAGACTTTTTGACCCAATAAACAAAAATGTGATAGTGAGTAGAGATGTTCGAGTAAACGAAGAAAGCAAGTGGGAGTGGGACAAATCCACTGAAGTTGTGGTCGAAGTACCAGATGCTACATCAAAAAATACTTCGACAGAACCAGAAAACTCTGATGATGATGAAGGACCCTCACAACCCAGGTTGCGGAGTTTATAAGACTTGTATGAAAACACAGAAGAAGTGCATCTCGTATGTTTGTTGGCAAACACTGAAGATGTCAGTTTTGAAGAAGCAATAAGAAATAAAAATTGGAAGGATGCTATGAATGAAGAAATCAAGGCCATCGAACACAATGATACTTGGGAACTAGCAGAGTTACCAAAAGGAAGTCAAATAATTGGTGTGAGGTGGGTGTTTAAGAAAAAGATAAATGCACAAGGTGAAATCGAAAGATACAAGGCGCGACTTGTGGCGAAAGGATACAGGCAGAAATCAAGAATCGATTATGATGAAGTCTTTGCACCTGTTGCAAGAATGGAGACAATTCGACTGCTCATATCTCAAGCTGCTCAATACAAATGGAAAATGCATCAGATGGATGTCAAGTCAGCCTTTCTGAATGGCATTCTCGAAGAAGAAGTTTACATCGAACAACCCCCTGGATTCATGAAAATCGAAAATAAAGGAAATGTGTTAAAGCTAAAGAAGGCACTTTATGGGCTGAAGCAGGCACCACGAGCATGGAATACTCGAATTGACACATACTTCAAAGAAAATGGATTTCAGCAATGTCCCTTCGAACAGGCTCTGTATGTGAAGAAGAAAAAAGATAAAATATTGCTTGTTGCTCTCTATGTTGATGACTTAATTTTCTTGGACAACAACAATCAAATGATCGAAGAGTTCAAAGGCACAATGACACAAGAATTTGAGATGACTGACTTAGGCCTGATGAAATACTTTCTTGGTCTAGAGGTTAAACAAGAAGAAACAGGAATCTTCATCTCACAAGAAAAATATGCAAAAGATGATATCCTGAAAAGATTTAAAATGGATAGCTGCAATCCCATTTCGACACCAATGGAGCCAGGAGCAAAGCTTTCAAAATTTGATGGGGGAGAGCGTGTCGAAGCAAACAAATTTTGAAGCTTGGTGGGAAGTCTTCGATACATCACATGCACATGGCCAGATCTTTCGCTGAGTGTTGGAATTGTGAGTTGTTTCATGGAAGAACCAGTTGTTACACACTGGAAAGCTCTGAAGATAATTCTTCGATATATCCAAGGAACTGTGTCACTTAGAATGTTCTATTCGAAAGCAGAAGAATACAAGTTGACTGGCTACTCTGACATCGATTTGTGTGGTGACATTGATGATCGAAAGAGCACTTCAGGATATGTATTCACTACGCCAAATAAGCTATTTAATAGCGCTTTTTTTTGTTTTTGATAGCGCTTAAAAGTGCTATTAACCGCGCCACTATTGTAAATATTTCTTATTTAATAGCACTTTAAAAGCGCTATTAAAGTACCAATTTATAATAGCGTTTTAATTAAAGTGCTATCAAAGTCAGTATTTTGCATGTTTTTTGTTTGTTTTTTTATAGCACTCTAAACAAAAAGCGCTAATATATAACATATGTTTGATAGCGCTTTCAAATAAAGTGCTAATAAATGGTACATATTTGGTACAATATTTTTAATAAGTACAGTACAATATTTTTTCTTACACAATCATTTTTTTGGTGTAAATATAAAATAACTATATTCAATTCAACACAAATAACGCTTTAAGTTACTCATTGCATATATATTATGATCCATCAAATACCAAATAACATTTTAAATTACCAAATCCTATTGTTTCCAAATATCATAACATATAGAATATTAAGAGGGCGTTTGCATAGCCAAATTTGTAGATGCCCATCTATGAGTACTTCAATCCAAATCCAAAAACATACAATCAAATTCTCTAAACAAAACACCAAAAAAATAAGAAAGGATAACAAAACAATCCCATGTAGTAACCACCTTCATGATCCAAAAGCGTTGAACTCATAGATACAATCACTAATTAGGCAAAATAATTGCTTCTTGTTTTCCTGTATCATAGAAGAAATATTGATTATGTATTGTACAATAAAAACTAATTCAACATATAAAGAATAATCAAACATTTAATATGGGTCTAACAAGAAGCGCATAAAATAAGGAATGATTATTATAAACTAATAACAATAAATCGATATAACTAATGCAATAATTGAACTAATTAAGTCTAACAAGAACATGACTTGTAAATATATAGACCACAATTTCCATTATTAGATGCATATAAACACTAAACAGAATATAATTCAAATTCTCAAAATATACATAAACACTTAATTGTGTGTAACTTTCTTTTCATGATCCAGAACTAGATATCAAACACCTTACAATTGTTACTACGAATATCTAAAAATTTCAAGTAGAAATGGAAAACTATAAATCATCATACAATAAGATATAAGTCATTTTTCCGTATTTTCCTATTTCAAAATTTAAATTCGAGACCAAGAAAGAACACTCAGTACCTCTGTGCCATATCTTCTAAACCAATAAAATACTAAAATCATTTATACGACAACTCTAAATCCAACTCAAAAATTAAAATTAAACATCTAAGTCAAAACATTTGAACTCTAAATCCATGAGTAATATTTGTCTTGTTTATCAAGTATCAAGTCAAGGAAAAACTCACCGAAAACATCATCCACCACATAAGTAGCCCAATCCTCCTTAACCTCGGTTAACTTATCATGAGAGTAGGTACGACATTTGTGGTCAAAAAAGTACTTCAAATATGAAAACATCAACAATTAATCGTGTTAGAATTAAATTATATTAATTTAATTTACAAAAGAATAATAATAATAATTAAAATCACGTACATTTGTGGGGATCATAAATTCATTTTCCATGATGACCTCTTTCATAAATCGCATTACAAAGTATCCACAATCAACGCCATTAATTTGACGAGGACACTACAAAAAAAATTTTATATCGATTAATTTTACTCCACATAATTGTTTTAAAATAACATTAATTTAGACACATACCTTTATTTTTTGCCATGAGATTTTCTTTGACTTTGACACTTTAGGCACTTTAGAACTACTATTAGCACGATAAATTTGCAAAGCGCTAACAAAATGAAATTAACTTCAAATGAGTAATTATATAAATAATAATACGTACATAAATTTTAAATTAAAAGAGTCTATACTCACTTCTCAAACTTTGTTTTAAAATTTTGATGTTTTGTTGGCTCACCATTCAACGGATCCATGTAATATATCACCTCAGCATTGAGATTGATGACAAGCAACACCCAATGTTTCCTGCACCCAACATTTAAATATTGCATTAAAGATTCACATTCATTAGAGTTTTTTCTCGTTAATTTAATAACTTTTTGAATATAAATCTCACCCTAGATTACAAGGTGCAAGAATCATCTTATCCTTGAACTCCTCATCTTTCAAAAGTATTTTTGCTATACCATTTCCTAGATTATCCTCCCGTGATACATGTGGAGATATGAAAGAGAACTTATTTATTAATCCATTTGGACTAATAAACTTGTCATACAAATACCTAGAAATGAACAACAATTGATATTAATATATTTGTCACCAATGTGAATATTAGTCAACAATACAAATAACATTAATATTAATAATATATTTGTCAAATAAGAGAATATTTGTAATAATAGAGGTACCTGGAAAATACAGTGATAATAGATGCACTTAACCAATTGTGATCAAGAATCTCCTTTATACTCTCTACACGTAGTTGCTCTAAAAACTCCTCACCAAATATACTTTCCTCCATTTTTATTTGAATTAATGATCCAACCCTCATCATCTTTTTCACATACATATCAAGGAAAGGTAAATTTGTAATACCAGCTGAACCGCCAACTCTAGGAGACTCTTCGATTTTGAATTTTTTGTTACTTTTGTTGGGTGATGAAACTGAATATTCAACACTGTGTTGAATATTGTTACCTTTGTTTTGGGATTGACCAGCAATCTAAAAAGTTGTATTAATTAATATTAGTGATCAAATAATAAAACAAGTAGCGATCAAGCAACTTGATTATAAGTAATTTACCTTTTCACATTCAGCAACAAATTCAAGAAGTTTTGTTGGCCATGGCACAATTGTTCCTATTGCTTGACCAACCATGGATACATCTCCATCTTCAACAGATATAGGCAATAGGGCATTTGGCACAATAGCAACTTCGATATTAACCTTGACATATCCAGGTGGTAACGTCATGCCATGTACCGTGTTACCTTTGGTGTTATATAGTTTTCCACGAGCAACCAAACAACGACTCGGGGAGGATAAATATATATTAACAGGAAAGAGACCCTAAACCAATAAGATATGAATAAAAAGATTAACATCATTATTGAAAGAACAAACATATCGAATTTGAGAGATAATAAAGAAACCAATTTACCTCGGGAATGTTGCCAAATGATCCAGGGTTGCAAGAACCTTTATCACTAGGTAGTCGACTCTCAGCTACTTTTTCTGGTTGTTTCCTTTCTACCACTTGTTCAAGGTGTTGCCTCTGTGCCACTTTTCAGGTTGTTGCAACCTCTCTGACACTTGTTTAGGTTGTTGCCTTTCTTCCACTTCTTCAGTTTGTTGCCTCTCTAGCTTCTCTCTATCCAACTTATCTCTCTCAATCTTTTCTCTCTCTAGCACCTCCAATCTACTTTTGAGTGAATTACAAAAGCCATACAATTTTTCAAAATCCATTTGTGTGGGGCGATTTTGGCGTGGTAATATGTCCCTAGAACATACCCCAAAACCATAAGTCCTAACACGTCCAGAGTAGTTTGGGAGATTAAGAGCCTCAAATAATATGTTTGTGGGACCAAGGTCTTGTCTCTCTTCTTCAGATAGAGCTTCTGTTAACTTCTCCTGACATTGATAAGTATAAAAGAAATAACCAATAGTTAGATACAAGTTGCAATTAATGGCTATTCTATCAAAATAAGACACAAAGACTCAATTAATTAAGGAAAATCGAGTTTAATGACTTCAAACTAACTAACAAAATACAAATTCGGTAACAATGATGAGTATAGAAAAAGTGTCACATCTATAATGTGAGCATTTTGGAAATAACATCTATAGTGTCACATCTAAAATTCGACTTACACATTGATCCACAACTCTTTGAACATTCTCATTATCAATCACCCCGCTCTTATTGACGCGGGCAGCCTTCCACACTTGACTACGGTTTATCTCACCAACTTCTGACTCTTCTACCTGTATATACATTTTTACAAATTAACATAGCAATTAAATTTTTTTATAATATTGTATAGTACATTTATACACATACTTACCATATCAGCTTCAAGACGAGCACACCCTAAACGTGACTTTCTATAGGGATGTTGAGGATTTAACGCTCTTTCTCGATTCTCATCACTAACTTTCTGCATTTATTATAAAAAATGCATCCCACAACACTATCACTAATACTATAATAGAAGAAATAGCAAACAGGAGCACTATTTTCGATCCAGTTATTTGGCATGTTTATTTTGACTCTTCCAACCTTATGCCCACCCAAGGAAATTTTGAGAAATGGCAACTATTATTATAAGAAAACAAATTATAATGCACACATCTTGAGAGAGAAATGTTAGTTCTCTCTTTTCTTTCTAGACAGTGATACTTCTTCTTCTTACTCTCTCTCACAAAAGACCACAACTTGCAGAACAATAACCATGGTTTTTTCTATCTCTCATCCATTTCAACCCCAAAACAAAATCAATCTTTCTCTTAAAATAAGAACAACAACAAAATAGAAATCCAAGATTCAAATCAAGCATTTAAGTTCTCCAACAACAATGACAACAAATCGAGAAAATAGAGGAAAAAAATTGCTTACCTGCAAGCAAAACCGAGAGTGGCTGGAGATGGAGGTCGGAGTCGAACGCCCAGTGGTGGCTGCCGGTGACGCTACAGGGGGCCGGAGTGCGTCGATATTGTGCTGTTGCAGAAGCAGTTGAGTTGTCGCTCGCGGTCGCCGGCGTGTCGTCGGAGGCCAGTCAAGTAATGGATTTGGAATGACTTTTCTCCTTCCTGTGTTTTTTTATTTTGTTTCGGTTTCTAATTGAAATAACTTTCTGAAAATGTGTTTTTTTTTTTATCAATTAATTAATTAATTAATTATTATATATAACGTAGCGCTTTTTAATAAATGCTATTATATAGGTAGTCAAATAATAGCGTTTTATACAAAATGCTATCTTAAAGAAGTTTAATAATAGCGTTCTGGTACAAAGTGCTATCATAATTACATAGTCTGTATTATATAATAGCGCCCGATTAAAAAGTGCTATTATAAATGTGTTTTTTCCATTTTAATAGCATTTTTTTTAAAAGTGCTATTAAATTAGGTGATACAAAAAATCATTTTTGGCGTAGTGATTCTTCATGGGAAACACTGCTTTCACCTGACTGTCAAGAAAGCAACCCATTGTAACTCTTTCGACCCGTGAAGCAGAGTATGTGGCAGCATCTTGGTGCGTATGCCATGCAATATGGCTGAGAAGATTGTTGAGCAAGATGGAATTGAAATAGGCAAATGCAACAATAATTCAAGTCGACAACAAATCTGTAATCGAACTGGAGAAGAATCTAGTCAACCACGAACGAAGTAAACACATTGATATTCGATTTCATTTTATTCTAGAACATGTGAAGGATGGAAGCATCGAACTGAAGCATGTTGCAAACAAGGATCAAGCAGCAAACATCCTTACAAAACCACCGTTGAAGGCACTTTTCGACAGAGGCAAGAAAATGCTAGGCATGATGGGTCGAAGGAACATTTGAATTTATGGGGGAGTTTTGTTGGTTAAATTTAAATCAGTCTTGGGTAACGCAAAAGTCAGATTCCCTTGGGCAGTGTGAAGTTTATTCCTTAGGGACCTAGACATAGTTAATGTAACTTTAAATATTTTATCTTGTGATTCTATATAACTCACATTGTACTCTCACATTAAAAGTTAATTGGACAATTTACAAAGAAAGAAGTTCAAAGTCCACTCCCATTTCTCTTCAAATTTCTTCAGATTTGAGATTAAATATCACTGATATTAAATATCATAGGAATCTTCGAATTACAATGACAGCACAACCCTCTATCCACCATACATGACCACACCGGTCCTGTTCTAGTCCACCACACACGACCGCGTTGGCCCTGTTCCGGTCACCACGCTGCATTTTCTCATTGGAAACCGCACAACAGCACCGCATTTTCCTTCAACCATCACGTTTTTCCAGCTGCCCGATCTATGTCGACGCCGCTAGTTTTCTGTTGCCCTTTAATCGTATAATTACTCTCCCTGTTTCAATGCATTTTAGTTTAGTCAGTTTGCTCTAGAACTCTTTGAAGCTCTGAATCATAAACAAAGGTTGAAGGTTAAAGAGATAAACGTGGTAGAACTATTCAATTTCTGGAAGATGGGATTCCTTTGAATATCAGGATTTATGAAATGCTTCTACAGTTCTGATTTTGTGGTTTGAAATATTATCATATTAAAGTGATGATTTGAATCTGTCTGATTGTAGGTTTGTGGTTGATTTAATGAATAACAATCTGAGAAAAAACATGTACTGAAATAGTTATACAATAGTAATTGTTATTGTTAATAATAAACCAGTAAAGAAACATTATGTTTGATTTTTTTTCTCAATTATGTCTCCAAGAACAAGATTGGAGAAGAAAAGGCAAAATAGTCATCGATGGCGAGAGAACGAGATCCATCGAAAATTAAAGAGCATAATGTTGATTGGTTTGTCTTTCACGATATTCAACATAAATGATTGTTTTTCATGATTCAAGGTGGTATATCTACAAGTTTGAAAACAAAATAACATATTTCAAGTTTCTACATATTGTATTGAACTGCTATATTTAATCCAGCATACCATATTTATTACCAGACAATATATGAATGTATAGTAACAACGGAGTCTAAAGAACCATAAACTGTTCTATGGTAGTGCATATAAATAAACTATTTTCTGTTAGTCAAATTTTGCTTTGGTCGATCGATCTTTATTTTTCACATCCTTACAAACTATATTGTCTCGATTCTCAAAATGATTTTAGTAAATCTTACTTCTACCTATTATTTTATGTGGAAAAATTAAAATTAATAACATCATACTATATTTTTAGTTTTGGTACAGGGACTGAAATAAACCATCGATGAGGTGAGGATTGAATTAATGTGAATTGGTTAGATAAAAATAGTTCATCATAGATAAAAATTATCGATAAATAAGTATAAACTATAAATTTAAAAATATAGTTCATCATAGATAAAAATTATGAATTTTTTTTATTAATAACCAAGTATTAAAATAATATTTCGCAAATAACCGGGTTTCGAAAAAAATTACGCAAATAACCATGTTTCAGATGACTCCCCAAAGGAGGAGCCATCTGAAATGGCGCATGCACCTACCAATTTGCCCTAGGCGCCATCTCACTTGGCGCCTCCCTTGGCTTTTAGCCAAGTGAGATGGCGCATGCTCCTTAAAAGTGAGAGGAGACTCCATCTCACTTGGCTCCTAGGGCAAAACTAGGCCAAAATGCTGTTTTATAAATAATTCGTCTGTTTCTCTAAAATTTCTCACACTTTCTCGCACTGTATTTTTATTTTGTACTCTGTTATTTGCGTCATGACGTCACCTATGATTTTTAGCAGAGATGGTTACGTTATCTTCTCCGCCACGAAACCTGCGATGAAAATGAAATTCTGGCACATTCACTCCATGGAGCGTCTAAAGCGGGAGTTGATGCGATGGCTAGATGGAGACATTGCGGAGGGGGAAAAATTCGAAGGATCCAGCGAAAACGAACAACAACCTCACATGCGACAGGAAGACCTAATGTGTGGTTGGAGGAAGTCAAAACAGACAGCGATGTAATGTTGATGATGCATGGGTCAGATGAAATTGTGTTAACAGTTGTAATTTCGTAGATGGAATATCGTTAATTATTCTTGTACGCGTTTTATTAATTGTAGCAAAATCTGTTAACGGAAAATCCAAATGTTTACAACACAATTAAGAAAAGATTTTATGTATTACAATATTTATGTGGTCGAGCCAGACGCCCGATTCGGACAGTTTTTGCGATTGTGTCTGACTTGACGGCATAAACCACACTTTCTTTCCAACCTGTCAAGATCGTCCATTTCTGTTGTGATGTGCTTACTTGTGGGACGACCCTTCTTGTTCCTTCGCATTTGGTCATTGTGCCACACTATTTATCCGTCGTATGCAGGCCAATAATCTGGTTTTGCTACCAAAGGAAAGTTGTTGTTGTAAACATTGAGCAACGTTTCAGATTTGTAAATGTTTGACAGAAGTTGCAGCGCGTCTTGATGGATATGAGCACAAGCGGCAATGACATGAGAGCAAGGCAAACGAAATGCTTGAAACCTGCCACAATCGCACCATTGAGAAGGTAGCATGACCCTATATTCTTGTCTTGGTAGGCCTTCATTGTGGTCGATTGTCTCTTTCACAATGAAGTTGTGGCTGTGTCAGTCAAACCGTATAACCATATGAGTGTTGGCTTTAGCATTTTCAGCCTTAATGTATTTCATGCAGCTTTCACTCCATAGTTGTCCAGATTGCAACACCGCATTCCATATTTCACCTCTTTTGGCAAATAACGCAGCCATCCTAAAATACGTAGATTTTACCAAGGCAGTGATTGGGAGGTTTCGTATGCCTTTGAATACCCCTTTCATTGATTCAATAAGATTCGTTGTCATATGCCCCAATCTTTGGCCATTATTGTATGACCTAGTCCATTTTTCCACCGGAATATTGTCGATCCACCTACCGGCTTCCGGATTTGACAAACAGATCTCGTTGCGGTAATATTTGAATGTGGGTTGTGTCAATGCATATCCCGCATTCATAACCGCTTTCCTCAATGTTTTGTCCTTGATCTCCCTCGAGAAATTCTGGACGATATGCCTAACGCAATAGACATGCGTAGAAGGAGGGTCATGCCAACCATTTGCTGGATTATTGTAGGCACTTTCAATGGAGGCATGTCTGTCCGAGATCAAACAGAGATTTGGTTGAGGAGCCATGTGTGTCCGCAGATTTTTCAGGAAAAAGCTCCAAGCACCACCGGTCTCCTCCTCGACAAGGGCAAAGGCAATGGGGAAAATGTTGTTGTTGCCATCTTGTGCAACTGCCATCAGTAGCGTGCCTTTGTACTTCCCATACAACCAAGTCCCATCAATTTGTATAATTGGTTTGCATGATGCAAACCCTGTGGTGCATGGTTGAAATGCCTAAAACACGCGACTGAATATTCCGTTGCCATTTAGTAGACTACCATCTTGGGCGTATGCTGGCATTGTTTCCAGAACGTAAACACTACCTGGAGAATACGTCTTGAGTGCATTCAGGTAGCGGGGAAGTTCTTGGTATGACTCCTCCCAGGTTCCGTACACCGTTTCAATCGCCTTAGTCTTTGCTAACCACGCCTTACGGTAAGACGGAGTGTAGTTAAAAACTGTGGTGATATGGGAGATGATTGTTTTCACCTTCAAAGATGGGTCGTTGCTGACAAGGGGTAGGATTTCTTGACAAATGAGATCATAGTTGAGTTTTCGGTGGTCCTGTGATTGAGTGGAACTTACACAAGTGTGGGTAGTCATGGAACCTATGACCCAGCAGTCACCCCTTAATTTGTATGATGCGGTCAGCTTGAACATACAGTCAGGGTGGACACACTTGATCTTGTACCTTTCCGGGTTGACACGATCCACCTTAAAATCAACCGAGTTGAGCATGTGGAATTTTTTAATGGCCCTGATGCATTCCTCTCTGTTACGAAACTTGTCCTTCTCTTTTAAATTTTCATCCGACTGCATATACAGATTGAAAAATAAGTCAGTAGAAGGTTCATCTCCGCCCATGTTGAAGTTTGTCATGTGCGGAGGTGGTGTGTAGATTTTGTTTGCAGGAATACTAGGGATGCCATCATCGTCGGAATCATCATTCACCATTTCATTAAACTCTAACTCGTTATCTTCTTCTTCATCATCAACTGCATCTACCTCAGCTTGTTCATTCTCCAAAGGATCAACCTCTTGTGTCACCTGAGGCTCTCGCAGCATAATGTACAACTCAATAGAGTCGTACCCAGAATAGACATGGCTGGAAAACATATTATGGAGATCCTCGTCATCTTGAACTTCAACCTTATAAAAAATTACTTGGTTGTTTCCAAAGAAAACTGGATTCTGATAAAATATCTGGGACACCGGGCCTCGTTCAAGTTTGGCCTCCAATCTTTTTTTGAAGTACGAGAAATTGTCTTTCCCGTTTAAGAGAAATCAGATGTTGTATGTGTCTCTAAACAAAAACCCAGCGGTGGGACAAATGTATGTCTCACCGTTGAAATGTGCTTTGACGATAAATTGTGGTGCAAAGGCCATTGCGTAGAATTGTTTTAAGGTTTGAAGGTTTGAATGTTTGAATTTAATGAGTGATTCGAAGGTTGGAATGTTTGAGGTTTATTGATTGTATGAAGGTTTGAATGTTGTAAGGTTTGAAGGTTGGAATGTTTGAACTTTATGAGTGATTCGAAAGTTTATGTGTTTGATTGTTTGAAGGTTTGAAGGTTTGATTGTAAGAACGTTTGAAGGTTGGAAGATTTGACAGATTAAGTGAATGAATGTTATGATAAACGCAAGACTAAACATTTCAATTAAGTAAGGATGCAACCCCCAAGGCTGCCAATAGTGTTACATGCAAGGAATCCCAAAGGCTGTCACCTAGCCTGAGCCTAGCCTACAACAAAGGACACCTCTTATTCGCCAATTGGGGTGGCGACACCATTCATTTTTGTACTCTTTCGCCAAGTCAAACGGCGCCTCCCTTACTGTCCAATCGTGATACATGCATGCAAATATGTAACCCCCTAGGCTGCCACCTAGCCTGTGCCTACTCTGCACCTATATTGTATGTTGTAAGTTCCCTCCTATCACCTCCAATGGACTTACATGCATTCAGGCAAGGAATCCCAAAGGCTGTCACCTAGCCTGGGCCTAGCCTGCAACAAAGGACACCTCTTATTCGCCAATTGGGGTGGCGACACCATTCATTTTTGTACTCTTTCGCCAAGTCAAATGGCGCCTCCCTTACTGTCCAATCGTGATACATCCTTAGGCTGCCACCTAGCCTGCAAGAGTGACACCTTTCATTTTTTGTAC